TAATAAAGTGAAAGTACCCGTTGTTGAACAGTGGTCCTCTTCCACCCCCAACAGCCCCACCTGCCCACCTCTGGGTTTTCCCCTCTCGTGTGTGACAACCCCCATGGCCCCCCCACACACCCCCTTACCATGTGCCCCCCCGTCCCCCACTCTGAGCTCTCACCCAAATGCTGGCCACCTGCGGACCCCATTCCCTCCACATGTTGGGCGGTGCATGGCCAGCAGGCGAGCATTTTTTTTTTTAAATAGAGTATGATTCTTGACTTAAAGCTTTCGTGACTGCAGGAATTAATATTCTTTGGGTCTTTTCTTTGAACCATCTCCGTGACTTTACCGAAAGACCCAAAGGATATAGAGTATTATTGTTGTGCAATTGTAGTGGGTATTGTGTGCATTACACGCGGTTACCACTACTTACCTGGTGTAGCGTCAGCCACGGGTCAACAGGGGGCAAATACGAGTAAAGCCTGTATCAAGTAACACCTTGAGGCCAGGGAACCCAGAGGGCGGTTGGGAACCGGAGGTATACATCTCAGGCCCCCAGTGGGGGCTGGGGGATTACGCAATAATCCAGGTCCCTCCAGAGGGTCCCAGTGAGTAGGACACGCTAGCTCGGAGGCTATACCTCCCCAGGGTATCGGGTGGAGGGGCCGATACCCCTTTGTGTTTGGCACCTCATGTTATAGTTGTTACTGTTAAATAAACGTGTTGCCTCCAGAAGAAGACTGTGTCTCCATCATTACCACTACACAAGTATGATTGTTGTGCAAATGATACACTTGCATCTTGGTGACTTACTTGCTTTACATCCTTGTTACTCTATGTAGCTTAATTTCTTAAGCTGCATTACATGCCCTTCTGTGATGTTTTTCTTCGTATGTGCCCTCCAAAGGAAACTGCACAGACAGTGAATTCCAGTGTGCGAATGGACAGCAGTGCATGCCTGCTTGGTTCTACTGCAATGGAGAGGCTGATTGCATTGATCGCAGCGACGAACCTCTGAACTGTCAGTGCCACCCAGACCAGAAACGTTGTGATAATGGGAGCTGCCTGGTAGTAAAGTTCTTCTGTGATGGAGTCAATGACTGTGGCGATTATTCCGATGAGACTAGCTGCAGTGAGTACATGATGTTATTTTTATAAACTTTTTCATGAATGTTTTCACTAACTGGAACAATATTTGAACAATATACCTCGAGCACACAATGTACATTTAAAAATTGCGACTTGAAAATCGGGGTTTGGGTTGTCACCTTAGTGTACATGACACCATGGGACTCTTTAAGGTTTGCACTTTAGATGGCATGAGGCAAGAGTTTACAGTAACCTGGGGTCCAATTGCATTTCAGACGTGTGTTATTGGAATGTGCATCTTATGATGTGACATTTTTTTGGATTAATAGTACACTGTAAGGTCAAAGTTATGGCTGCATATGGTTCTCGGGTGTCTGGGTTCCAGTGTCGGCTCTGCTGCATCTTATTTTGGTCATTTCTTCGTGAAACAATTATATGCTTTATTGGCTGCACAGATGGGTACCGTGTAACAGAAGCAACTCTCACATTTCACATTCCCTAATTTTACAAGGCAATTTATATCCATAACTGCCCTTAATTGTCTTCTACAGGCTGCACAGATGGGTATTTTCATTGCAGCAATGGACCATGCATTCCACAATCCTTCGTCTGTGATGGGGACTCAGACTGTGAAGATCAGAGCGATGAGCAGAACTGCCAGTGTAGCCCTGGCCGACAGCGCTGTCAGAACGGGAACTGTGTGGAAAATGAGTTCATCTGTGATGGAGTTGATGACTGTGGGGATTACTCTGATGAGAGCAATTGCAGTGAGTGTTTGTTCCAAATGAGTTTACAGAATTAAATAATTGAAAAACTAAGTAGTAAAAAAACGATGTCTCAGTGACTATGATGATTACTCTGGTCCGCAAACTGCAGTGATTATTTTACGTTTTGTCTTTTAAAATATAAAAAATATATAATTGTATTATTGATGTTTATCATGAAACAAAGTGGCCATTAAAAGCCCTCGCACAGTAGGGCATCGCCCAGTGTTAGGGTATAGACAATGAAAGTAGATATAACAGAATTATGTCTGAGATTGCTTCAAATTACCTCATCCACACAAAGTACTGTACTTTCGCACAGCCATTATATGTTTATTCTCAGAGATGGTATTCAGCTATATTCAATGGAGATGTAATTTACCACGGTTTTGGTGAAGCCTGATTTGTACCCACGATCTCAGTTATGCTTCTTTAGAGCTTTGACTCCTGAGGCACCCAGACACCTCTGTGTTTATATGTGTTAATGAACATTTACCCTATCCATAAAAAAAAAAACTTCTATCACTTAAATATGAATTATTCAAAATATGTGTCCTGCAGGCTGCACAGATGGATACTTTCATTGCAACAAAGGACCATGCATTCCACTTTCCTTCCTCTGTGATGGGGATTCAGGCTGTGAGGATCAGAGTGATGAGAAGAACTGCCAGTGTGGGCCTGACCAACAGCGCTGTCAGAATGGGAACTGTGTGCAACATGAGTTCTTGTGTGATGGAACCAACGATTGTGGGGACTACTCTGATGAAACCAACTGCAGTGAGCGCTTTGTTTTTACTATTCATAAATAACATGCAGTCTACGAAGATTAACCATTGACATTAATCTTGGGGTTCAGTTTGCGGGGTTACATTGATTCACGCACTGCACGGCACTGCATCCAGTAACCTGCGTTACATTTTTAGCCATGGCTGACATCAATAACGAGTGCAAATTGATTTGATTCATAGCCCCCCATTTACCAATCTGCACTGACCAATGTTGCCTCATATGGTCACACCCCCTCACTGACATGGTATGATGTGACCTTTATCCAGCAGTGGATTGACAAAAAACTGTAAACCCTAATTAATTTGCATAATTTTTCAAATTCAGGCTGCACAGATGGGTATTTTCATTGCAGCAATGGGCCATGCATTCCACGTTCATTAGTCTGTGATGGGGATTCGGACTGTGTGGATCAGAGTGATGAGAATAACTGCCAGTGTGGGCCTGACCAACAGCGTTGTCTGAATGGGAACTGTGTGAAAAATGCGTTCCTGTGTGATGGAGCTGATGATTGTGGGGACTACTCTGATGAAACAAACTGCAGTGAGTGTTTGTTCCAGATAAGTTCACGTAATTAAATCATTGATAAACCGTGTCATGAAAAGCAATGTCTCAGTTACTCTATGGATTACTTTGCTCCGCAAGCTATAGTGATTTTCTGTATTAAATGTTTTATTTTTCATTTTAAAAAATGTTATTCCAATTGTCACTTTGTCATGAAACAAAGTGGCCATTCAAAACCCTCGCACAGCACGGCATCACGCAGTGTTAGGATATGGACCACAGAAGTAGATATAACAGAATTACGTCTGAGATCGCTTCATGCGACCTCTTATCCACACGATGAGCTGTAATTGCAGCAATGGGCCATGCATTCCACTTTCCTTCCTCTGTGATGGGGATTCAGACTGTGAGGATCAGAGTGATGAGAAGAACTGCCAGTGTGTGCCTGACCAACAGCGCTGTCAGAATTGGAACTGTGTGCAAAATTAGTTATTGTGTGATGGAGCCGACGATTGTGGGGACTACTCTGATGAGACCAACTGCAGTGAATGCTTTTTTTACTATTGTTCGTAAATAACATGCGGTCTACAAAGATAAACCATTGACATTAATCGTGGGGTTGAGTTTGCGTGGTTACAATGATTTTCGCATAGAACTGTACTGTATCCAGTAACCTGAGTAACATTTGTAGCCATGGCTGACATCAGCGACGAGTGAAATCGGATTTAGTTCATAGCCCCCCATTTACCATTATGCACTGACCAATATTGACTTATATGGTCACACTGATATAATGTGATGTGACCTTTATCCAGAAGTGGATTGACAAAAAACTGTAAGCTTTATGTAATTTGCTTATTCTTTTCCTTCAGGCTGCACAGATGGGTATTTTCATTGCAACAATGGACCATGCATTCCACGTTCATTCGTCTGTGATGGGGATTCGGATTGCGTGGATCAGAGCGATGAAAAGAACTGCCAGTGTGGCCTTGACCAACAGCGCTGTCAGAATGGGAACTGTATAAAAAATGAGTTCTTGTGTGATGGAGCTGACGATTGTGGGGACTACTCTGATGAAACCAACTGCAGTGAGTGCTTTGTTTTTACTATTCTAGATTTGAAGCTTTCGTGACTGCAAGGATCCATACTCTTTGGTTGTATTCGGTAAAGTCACGTAGGTAAAAAAATAAAACAACAAAAATCACGACGTTTCGGTCACAACACAAGTGGCCTTCATCAGGTGAAGGGACCAGACTGTCTGGAGGACAGCGCTGGAGTGAACACAGCCAAGCTCAGACCACGACCTTTAAGCTTGTGTGAGAGGAATTAAGGTGCCTTGACCACTTGTGTTGTAGCCGAAACGTCGTGATTTTTGTTGTTTTATTTTTTACCTACGTGACTTTACCGAATAGAACCAAAGAATATGTTTTTACTATTGTTGTGGTGTTAGAAACGACACGAAGGCAGACGTTGTCGGGGCTGACGCCAAACGGTTTATTAAGGGCTTTCGTGTAGCTTTTGGGGAAAGGCTAACACAAGACTTTGGATAAGCTAAATCTCCCCAGGGGAAAGGGTACTGGGAATCCCTACGACTCCCAGGCTAACGGGCTCTTCCCACTGCGCTGACCGATGGTTCATCCAACTCGGCCAGCCGGGTGAAGTAGCCCCCCCCAGCCTGGTGCTATTTATCCCCTATCCTGGGTCCCCACTTCCCTACCGCTCACGAACCCAGCTCCTGGCGAAGACCCCCTCTACATCACCGGTCCCCCCTCAAATACCCGTCACCACTCTACTCCTCAACATCACTCCCCCCCCGTAAAAAACTCAGCCGACCTGGCTGCAACTACTCCGTGAGCGGTGCCCCCCCCCCCCCCCCCCCCGGCGGGAAACAGAACATTAGGGCAAGTTGGCACAAGACATAGACGCCACCCAGAACGGCAAGTGGCGACAAGGGCGGGATGGAAGAGGACGGCTTCATCGTCCGTCAGCGTATGCGCCTGCCCCGCGAGCGTGTGCCTGCCGCTGGCCCACTCCCTCACGCGGCGTCAGCCGCCGGAGCCGGCGTTGCACTGTCCTGCTGCGGCCCAGATGGACCCTGGCCAGGACAAGGCGCCATAGGCGACTCCGCCGGCGGCGACGCAGCAGGCGCCTCCAACGTCGGGCCACTGCCCCCTGTGGCGTCCGTTTCTGTAACCGGCGGTGCTCCAGACGGAAATTGGGCCTCCCCGAGGGCTACTCCCGGCAGGCTCGCCGACGGCGGTATCAACGGCGGTAGCTCTGGGGACACACAGGAGAGCAAGGTGACAGTAACATCTCCCCTGCCCCCAGGACCCGGCCCATCGAACGCATCCATCGCCGGCCATCCCGGAATTGGGGATGAATCAGGGAAGGCGGGCGGCGCCACCCGCTTGCGCCGCAACGGGTACATGGTTCAGCGGCGCCAACCCAACCGGATACGGACACACTGAGGCTAGCGGACCCCAACTACCTCGAAAAGGCCCTGCCATGGCCAATGTAATTTAGGGGACGTGCCCACCGGCACCTGAGGGCAGTGCAGCCACGCCAACTGGTCCTTTTCCCATGGCAACCCAACAGCCTGATGTTTAGGCAAGCACTCAGCGGCCGCCTGCCGACTGGCCGAATGTTCTAAAGCTGCTTGCCGCGCTTCGCACAGCCGATCCAGCATGATTTTCATCGGAAGGGGAATGGATGACCCCTTCTTGACTGTGCCGAGGTCCAGTTGAACGAGCACCGGGGGCTCGGGCTCCCTCCCGTACATAAGGAAAAAGGGGGAGAACCCCGTCGAGGCATGAGGAGCTAGCCCAGGGGTGGGCAAATTTTTTGACTCGCGGGCCACAATGGGTTCTAAAATTTGACAGAGGGGCCGGGCCAGGAACAGATGGATGGAGTGTTTGTATGAACTAATATAAATGACATGTAAAAATCATTACATGAAAGGATTTGGCCTTTAACAGGTAGCAAACATTTATTTTCAAGGCAATTTAACAAATTGCACGAACATGAACAATACAAAAACACGTCGTAACTCCCGGTCAAAGTGCAACATCTAATGGGGAAATGGGGGCATTACAGGAGAAAGGTAAAATTTTATTTAATAATAATAATATTTGGACAAGTTCGGCAGGCCGGATTAAAAAGCCCAATGGGCCGTATACGGCCGGGGGCCGTACTTTGTCTGAGCTAGCCTGTACGCGGCCAGCACCCCCGGGATGAACAGGTCCCAGTCCAATTGGGACGAGCTCACGTGATGGCACAACATGGACGTGAGCGTGCGGTTCGACCGTTCTACCATCCCGTCAGACTGGGGATGGTAGGGCGAGGTGCGGACATTTTTCGTTCCAAGGACGTCACAGACCTCCGGAATTTTTCTTCCTGTTTACTCAAACGGGAAGAAAAATTCCGCCCCTGATCAGTTAAGAGCTGTTCTGGCGCCCCCTTATCGAGAACATACTCTTGTACAAACGCCTCCGTGATGGACGAGGCCGATTGGTCCACCAGGGGCCACGCCATGGGCCAACATCTGAGGTATTTCACCCCCACCAAGAGGCATTTGTGTTCCTGTTGGGATGCAGGGAATGGTCCCAAAATATCGAGTGCCACGAGCTCATTCATACAAGAAACCCGGATGGACTGCAGCGGGGCCCGATCCTGACCCACTGGGGCCTTCCTCCGCGCACAGTCGTGGCAACCCTTCAAAATCAGCGCCACATCATCCTCCACGCCCGGCCAATAGTAGTCCCGTTTAAGGGTCAAGAGGGTCTTGTGGTAGCTGAGGTACATAAGTTTATCGTGAATGGCTTGGGTCAACTTACCTCGCAAGCCAATGGGCACCACCACGCAATATCGTTCCAACTGAGCATCCCAATGCATGAGGAGGCCGTCATGCATGGCAACCACCGGGGCAGCCGACGGAGCCGAGCTCCGGGCCTTAGACCCAACACTATGTCGCAGCCTCAGCAGAGGGGAATCCTCCATCTGCATCTGGGACCATACCTCCCGGGGGAGTCCCAGACCAAAATCCCCAGGCAACGCCACACCCGGAGAGGGCGCCGCGCTGGCTGATGCAACCAACTGGGCCGCGGTATCCACTGGGGCCTTACAACGGCTGGAACCCAAGGCACAGGCGCACTTGCCCTCCGAGGGCCGCCTGGAAAGGCCGTCCGCATTCCCATACAGAGTCCCCTTCCTGTGGATGACATCGTAGGGGTACTCCTGGAGAACCTCGAGCCAGTGGGACAGCTAACCCGAGGGCTGGTAAATTCGCAGGGAATATTCTAGGGCTGCATGGTCGGTCCGGATGGTAAACCGGCGACCATACAGATATGGCCTGTAAAATTGGACAAAGAAAATAATGGCCAGCAGCTCCCTCCTGGTCACACAGTACCGCTGCTCAGTGGGGGACAAAACACGGCTACTATAGGCCACCACCCGCTCTACCCCGTCGACAACCTGAGCCAGGACGGCCCCAATGCCCATGTCACTGGCGTCGGTGTCGAGGAGGAATGGCTGGGAGAAATCCGGGTGCTAAGACCATGCGAAGCGCCGCAAAAGCGACCTCCTTGTTCCCCCAGCGAAATTTCTGTCCTTTGGCAGAGAGTGCATGTAGCGGCTTTGCAATAGTCGCAAAATCGCGGACGAACCAGCGATAGTACGATGCGAAGCCCACAAAGCTACGCACCTCAGCGACAGATGTAGGAGTCGGCCACGTCTGGACACAAGCAGTCTTCTCCGGATCCGTTGGCACACCTGATGCGCTAACAATGTGGCCCAAATACTTCACTGATGGTCACAGCAGGTGGCATTTCTGAAGTTTGAATTTCAAGCCCGCAGTGCGCACTTTGGCGAACACCGCCTCCAACTGCTGCAAGTGTTCATCAAACGTACTTCCAAAAACGATAACGTCATCCAAGTAAATCAAATAAGACTCCCACTGCAGCCCCACCAAGATCAATTCCATGAGGCGCTGAAAGGTGGCCGGGGCAGAATGAAGACCCATAGGGATCCGATTGAACTGGAACAGCCCCTGTGGTGTTCGGAATGCGGACTTGGGCCTGGAGGCCTCATCCAATGGCAAATGCCGAAAGCCCGAAAGCAAATCGAGGGTCAAAAAGAACCACGCACCCTAGAGGGCATCGATGGAATCGTCCATGCAAGGCAAGGGATACGCATCGGCCACCGAAATCTTGTTTAATTTACGGAAGTCAATGCAGAAGCGGAGACTCCCGTCCCGTTTCTTGACTAGCACGATGGGGGCTCCCCAAGGGCTAGTGAAAGGAGAGATAATGTCCGCCGCCAACATGTCATCAACTGCGGAGCGGACATGATCCTTTTCCGCTGGGCTAAAGTGGTGTAAATTCAGTCGAATAGGACCGAGTCGCCCGTGTCGATATTATGTTCAAGGAGAGTGGTATGGCCCAAATAGAATTTACCCTGGTTGAACACATCGGCGAACCTGACGATGAGATCGCGGAGCAACTGGTGCTCCTGGGAGGATGACGAGGCGTTCTCAGTGCACGACGCATCAATCCATGATGCGTCGGCACTCCCCATGGGCAGTACTCTCGCTACCACCCCTCCCGGCGGCTCAAGGACGCCAGGAGGAGGGCCTGGGGTGGCGTGCGCCAACATAGCTCCAACAGGGACGGCGATCGGTGCGGGCCCCGAATTAGCACTTGCAAAAAGAGTTCCTGGCCCGCAGCCACAGCTGTAAAAGCGCCCACCAGCCTGTCAAACATCGTAAAATAATTGGAAGGAGACAGGAGGATGCCTGTCTCCGGGGACTCCAACGGAAGCAGGATCTACGACCCGGGTGGGACCGTCACGGATTTTGTGGTCATACCCGAACACTGGCGGCCAGGGGAGCTACGACAGAGGGGGACTGCAGGAAATGCAGCCGGTCTCCCGACGGCATCTCCACACACCCCTGGTCAACCAGGATCCGAACGGGCATTCTGGCCAAAAAAATCAGTGCCCAATAGACACGGCACGGCCAAAGCCTTAGAAACCAACACGGGTCCCCGTAACGCGATCTCCCCAATCGCCACAGACGCGAGGACCATGGCCCAAAATACCAAGGCTACTCCCTTTGGCAGCCATGCACGCCCCGCGAACCGGCCGCAATGGCCCCACACTGTGCGGGAGCGACCGGAAAACAGCCTCGGATACCATGGTGGCGGATGCCCCCGTATCCACCAGGATCCTTACCTCGACCCCCTGCACACGCCCCACCATGGCCGAGGACCCGGCAGCAGCGGCCACCATGCGATGCACGAGGGCCCGCCACTGGCGAGTCCATCTGGGCCACTCAATCGCCGAGCGCACCCCCGTGTGCCCCGAGCCGGACCCCCTAGAGATGGGCCCATGAAGATGAACCCTAACCCTGCGAGATGCCTGAGGTGAAGAGAGCGGCCGTGCAATGGATGTGTCGCGACTTGCCTGCTGCCCAGGAGGCTCCACCGCTGGAGGGACGCCTGCAGGAGGAGAGGCCTTGGAGATGGCCCCGGGGGCGTTATTGCACCCCCTCTCAAAGTGGCCCACCTGGCCACAACGAAAGCAGGTGACCCGTCCCCGGGCCTGCGAACGGTAAGGTCCCGCTCACCCCGGCCCCCCTGGCTGGCGAGCAGACCCACCGTCCCCACGGTGGTCGTAGGCCGCTGCGGCCACGAGGGCGTCCTCCCCACTGGGCGGCACCACCACTGGCAGCGCTGGAGCACCCACGCACACCACCATCGCTGGAGGCTGCCGCAGCGCAAGATGGGCTTGAATATTTTGCGTGACGGCCAGCGAAGTAATCTTGGATCCTGCCCCGATGGACATAACAATTCCCAACTCCCTGCGAGGACCAGCAGCCTCTCCAGGGCCAGGGAGTCCAGCGTGGTCCCTTCCACGTTGGGATATGTGGCCCGAGCCAATGCTAGGAGGGAGCAGCGGAACGCAAGAGGCGATTCCCCCTTCCTCCCACGGGTGCACGGTAAACTTGAGGCGCGCCTCGGCCGGTGGCTCGAATACTTCGGCCATCTGCTGATAGGCCGATTATAGCGTCACCTTCTCCGCCGGTGGGATGCTCAAAAAGGCATGTAACGCCCTAGCATCCAAGCATGTGGGCAGTACACGCAGCGCCTCCTCTTCCGGCCAGCGCACAGACTGAAAGGCCGCATCAAATCTGGCCTGGAAATCCAGCCAGCCCCCCCCTTTGACACGAATGGCACCACAGAGGGTAATTGTCTCAGCCAAAAGCGAGCTGACCCATCCCCCGGCCCAGACTCACCCACAGCGGCGATCGCTGGTGTCGCCGTTTCCGCAGCCGCCGTGCCCGGACCCGGGGCCCCGGCGGCCCTGGCAGGCTGAGGGAACATCGCCCCCCTCACCACGTCCGCGGCTGCAGCCTCCCCCGCCGCCCCGGCTCGCAGCGAGCCCGCAACGCCATCGGCGGCGACGTGCAGAGCGGCAGCGCGTATGGGCGCCACCATAACAGGTAAAATGGCGCCCGCCGGTGGCGTCGCAGAAAAAATGGCGGCGCCCTGTCCTGGCTCAGCGGTTGGTGGAATTGGGAATTTGGCAGGAGGTGCGGCGTCGGCAAAGTCGCGACGGCCACGCACCCCCTCGCCCTCCGCGTGTGTGCAAACCCCCACCTCAACCAGCGCGGCGGTGAGCTGTGTCACCGACTGCTGGAGCAGCTCCAGCTGGACAGCTACGCCGCTGCTCCCCCAGCCGCCGCCTCCCCCGGCTCCAGCCGGGCCACCTCCACGGGGCACGTATCCGGGGCCCCGACCTCCGGGATGCACCAGGGCCGCAGCAGCGTCTTTCTCTTCTTGCAACAGTACACCAGGCATGGTCTTCCGTCTCGCGCCAGACTTAGACATGGTCGTGAGCACAGAAGCCACTTCCGACACCAGTTGTTGTGGTGTTAGAGACGACACGAAGGCAGACGTTGTCGGGGCTGATGCCAAACAGTTTATTAAGGGCTTTCGCCTAGCTTTTGTGGAAAGGCTAACACAAGACTTTGGATAAGCTAAATCTCCCCAGGGGAAAGGGTACTGGGAATCCCTACGCCTCCCAGGCTAACGGACTCTTCCCACAGTGCTGACCAACGGTTCATCCAACTCGGCCAGCTGGGTGAAGTAGCCCCCCCTAGCCTGGTGCTATTTATCCCCTACCCTGGGTCCCCACTTCCCTACCGCTCACGAACCCTGGCTCCTGGCGAAGACCCCCTATACATCACCGGTCCCCCCTCAAATATCCCGAGGGGACATGATGTCACTCCTCCCGAGGCGAGTGTGACATCCCGTCACCACTCTACTCCTCAACACTATTCATAAAAAAAATGCAGTCTACAAAGATTAACCATTGACATTAATCTTGGGGTTCAGTTTCCGGGGTTACATTGATTAGTACACAGCACGGCACTGCATCCAGTAACCTGCGTTACATTTTTAGCCATGGCTGACATCAGTGACGAGTGAAATTTTATTTGATTCAAAGCCCCCCATTTACCAATCCGCACTGACCAATGTTGCCTCATATGGTCACACCCCCTCACTGACATGGTATGATGTGACCTTTATCCAGCCACAGATGGGTATTTTCATTGCAGCAATGGGCCATGCATTCCACATTCATTTGTCTGTGATGGGGATTCAGACTGTGTGGATCAGAGTGATGAGAATAACTGCCAGTGTGGCCTTGACCAACAGCGCTGTCAGAATGAGAACTGTGTGAAAAATGCATTCCTGTGTGATAGAGCTGATGATTGTGGGGACTACTCTGATGAAACAAACTGCAGTGAGTGTTTGTTCCAGATGAGTTCACGTAATTAAATCATTGATAAACCGTACCATGAAAAGCAATGTCTCAGTGACTGTATGGATTACTCTGTTCCGCAAATTGCAGTGATTCTCTGTGTTTTAATTTTTTTATCTTTCTTAAAAAATGTTATTCCAGTTGTGTTATTGATGTATGTCATGAAACAAAGTGGCCATTCAAAAACCCTCGCACAGCACGGCATCACTCAGTGTTAGGATATGGACCACAGAAGTAGATATAACAGAATTACGTCTGAGATCGCTTCAAGCGACCTCTTTTCCACACGATGTGCAGTACTTTCCTACAAAGCCAATATGTATTAATTGTCAGAGATGGTATTTAGCCGTATTCATTGAAAACATAATTCAGCATGGGTTATTTGAACAGGAAGTGATGGCGAGGTTGAGAGAATCTAATTCGCTGCAATTCACAATACGGTTTAGTCACGAGTTGCTGAAGCTTGATTCGTACGCAGGATCTCAGTGATGCTTCCTCAAAGCTTTGACTCCTGAGGCACCCAGACACCTCTGTGTTTATATAACTGGTAATTAACATTACGCTATCCATTAACAAAAACAGGTGTCACTTCAATATTAATAATTGAGAATATTTTCCTCCAGGCTGCACAGATGGTTACTTTCATAGCAGCAATGGGCCATGCATTCCACTTTCCTTCCTCTGTGATGGGGATTCAGACTGTGAGGATCAGAGTGATGAGAAAAACTGCCAGTGCGGCCTTGACCAACAGCGCTGTCAAAATGGGAATTATGTGCAAAATAAGTTCCTGTGTGATGGAGCGGATGATTGCGGGGACTACTCTGATGAGACAAACTGCAGTGAGTGTTTGTTCCAAATTACTTTACGTGATTAAATTATTGAAAAACCGCATCATGAAAAGCAATGTCTCAGTGACTGTATGGATTACTCTGTTCCACAAATTGCAGTGATTCTCTGTGTTTTACTTTTTTATCTTTCATAAAAATGTTATTCCAGTTGTGTTATTGATGTATGTCATGAAACAAAGTGGCCATTCAAAACCCTCGCACAGCACGGCATCACTCAGTGTTAGGATATGGACCACAGAAGTAGATATAACAGAATTACGTCTGAGATCGCTTCAAGCGACCTCTTTTCCACACGATGTGCAGTACTTTCCCACAAAGCCAATATGTATTAATTGTGAGAGATGGTATTTAGCCGCATTCAGTGAAAACATAATTCAGCATTGGTTATTTGAACAGTAAGTGATGGCGAGGTTGAGAGAATTTAATTCGCTGCAATTCACAATACGGTTTAGTCACGAGTTGCTGAAGCTTGATTCATACGCAGGATCTCAGTGATGCTTCCACAGAGCTTTGACTCCTGAGGCACCCAGACACCTCTGTGTTTATATAACTGAAAATTAACATTACCCTATCCATTTGTAGTGGGTTCTACGGAGGCACACCCTTGACTTTGGAGGCAACACGTGTATTATAACACCCCAACAGGGTATCTACATAAACATACACTGTTACTAGACCCCAACAGGGTAGCTACATCAACGGTTCAGATCAGCAACACACTGCCTGACCCACGAAGCCGAGCTTAACGACCGAAGTCCGAAGAAACGTAGCACCGAGGGTTCCATTCCAGCAGACAGCCACGATTGCTCTCGGGACCTCTCTTTTATGCTCCCGAGCATGGCCTTGCTCCGCCCTCGGCCACGCCCCCTTCTGAATCTCACCAGAAGGTTCTCGACCAAGCATCACGTGTCCCTCAAGCCACCCTTTGGGTCCCCTCGCTACCCTGTCCCGGTCACGTGCCCTCTCGGATTCACCCAGACTGTCACATCCTTACTTGCCCTCTCTCTGACTGCCACCAGAACCATGCCCCCTAAGGCCGGCTTCCATGCCATACCTACTCTGGTGCCAGAGAGAGGCTCAAGATGCACAGTTCCACTCAGTTGACAGTAGCTGGAGCTAAACGCCATAGTGACTCCATTAACATCACTTCACATTAACAAAAACGTGTCTCACTTCAATATTAATAATTGATTTTTTTCCCTCCAGGCTGCACAGATGGTTACTTTCATTGCAGCAATGGACCATGCATTCCACTTTCCTTCCTCTGTGATGGGGATTCAGACTGTGAGGATCAGAGTGATGAGAAGAACTGCCAGTGTGGGCCTGACCAACAGCGCTGTCAGAATTGGAACTGTGTGGAAAATGAGTTCATCTGTGATGGAGTTGATGACTGTGGGGATTACTCTGATGAGACCGACTGCAGTGAGTGCTTTGTTTTTACTATTCATAAATAACATGCAGTCTACAAAGATAAACCATTGACATTAATCTTGGGGTTCAGTTTGCGTGGTTACATTGATTAGCGCGCAGCGCTGCACTGCATCCAGTAACCTGAGTTACATTTTTAGCCATGGCTGACATCAGTGACGAGTGCAATTGTTTTTGATTCATAGCCCCCCATTTACCAATCTGCACTAACCAATGTTGCCTTATATGGTCACATCCCCTCACTGACATGGTATGATGTGACCTTTATCCAGCAATGGATTTACAAAAAAATGTAAACCCTAATTACTTTGCATAATTTTTATTTTTCAGGCTGCCCAGATGAGTATTTTCATTGCAGCAATGGGCCATGCATTCCACGTTCCTTCGTCTGTGATGGGAAATCAGACTGTGAGGATCAGAGCGATGAGAATAACTGCCAGTGTAGCCCTGACCTACAGCACTGTGGTAATTAACTGTATATTGAGCAATGTGTTTTCAATTGTGTTTTCAGCAATGTACACATAGCTTTAGTTATCAGTTATTTCAAGTGTGATAAATTTTGTTATTGTGATTTACATATACAAGGCAGTCTCTCGTTTATGACGGTCTGATTTATAACGATACACATTCCGGACCTTTATATAACTCCACCATGAATCGATTTATGACGCAGAAACTTGATTTATCTTTCGACATAACCCCAATCACATTTGAACAGTCAGTCTGGTTTCCAATGTTAGTTGGTGTGGAGCTTTTGTTCTTCTCAATTCTTTTTGTGGATTTTTACCTCTTAAACCCTGTTACATATGGCTGATAAAAGGGGGGAAAATCGGCAAGTGTCCGATTTATGATGTAGTTTCCAAAAACGTATTATGTCGTGACAACGGGGACTGCCTTTATAATGTGCCATGTAACACACTTGTAATGCTTTGTTTATATTTTGAAGACAAATGCACAGACTCAGTATTCAAGTATTCAAATGGTTGGCAGTGTATTCTTGGACATTTCTACTGCGACGGAGAGCCCGACTGTGCAGACTCGAGTGATGAGAATGCAGACTGCCATTGCTACTCAGGGCAATTCCGCTGTGGAAATGGAACCTGCTTGGGGATAACAAATGTGTGTGATGGAGTCAACGATTGTGGCGACTATACGGATGAGAGAAACTGCAGTGAGTACAGTTTAGTCTTGGTCAAAATGTTCTCGTCAATTTTATGTTTTTGTTTCGATTTAAAGCTTTCGTGACTGCAATGATTCATCTTCTTTGGTTCTTTCGGTAAAGTCACGTAGAATGAGAATAAAATAATAAATTGATAAAATAAAATAACACAATAATATTCTCACGACGTTTCGGCCACAACACAAGCGGCCTTCATCAGGTGAAGGGACGAGACTGTCTGGTAGGACAGCGCTGGAGTGAAAGAGCCACGTTCAGATCACAGCCTTTAAGCTGTGTGAGAGGAACAAAGCGCCTTGACAAAGGAATTAGCATATAATTTAGCATTGAAATGGCTGAATGATTAGCTTGTGACTGGTCACAGAAATAGCTATGTTAAAAGTTAAAGCATACACATCCGCAGAGGCACCCATTGTTAAAGGAATTAGCATAGAATTTAGCATTGAAATAGCTAAGTTAAGGCATACACATCCGCAGAGGCACCCCTTGACAATGGAATTAGCATAGAATTTAGCATTGAAATAGCTGAGTGATTAGCTTGTAACTGCTCACAGAAATAGCTACGTTAAAGTCAGAGCATACACATTCACCGAGGCACTTAGTACAAATCAAACAGGAGAATTTAGCATTGAAATAACTAGGCGAATTTAGCATTGAAATAACTGAGTGATTAGCTAGTGACTGGTCACAGAAATGACTATGTTGAAGTCAAGGCCTACACATCTGAGCTATTCACAGTACTATATAGTGAACCAATAAAAAAACTAAAATATAAATTACCTTAATGTTATCAATAAACTCTATATTCTCCAATCAGCTAAGCTACCAACAATAAGTCGTTATATATCACAATGCTATATGGCGAAAAAATGGGTGGATTCTTACCCTCAACTTTAGCACCACGGATAGCTACGGGCCCCGTTTAGACGGACGAGTTCGTCCATGGTCGGAACAGAGGAGGGGGAGAGAGACAGCTGCGAGGCGCTATTCATACTCCATGTTGTAAAACCATACCATTAACCGTGGTGTGAGAGGTATTAAGGAGCTGCGGTCTGAAGGTCATCGTAAAAATACAATTAATTAAGAAGATAAATTATTTAAAACATCTTTCCAGTGGTTACTAAGCCAGAATCCATCTTCTCGGTTGAAATTGTCTCTGTGCTTGTATATGTGAATGGCCTCATGAACGAATCTCTCATGGTAGCCGGTTGGTTTGCAAATAACCTCCGTCTTGGAGAAGTCAATGTCATGTGAGCCCACTGAATTATAACAACAAAATTCAAGAACTACTCAACGATGGCAGCTATACAAAAATAAAAAGAGATCCCACCAACAGCCTGGTCACCAAAACGAACAAAATCATCTCTGATTCAACAGCATTAATTGATGAGATCAAACAGTTCCCGTTGAAACCCTCTGCTGCCAGACCACGAAGATTATATGGCCTTCCAAAGATACACAAAGAAGATACACCCCTTCGTCCCATCGTCTCTACTATCAACTCCCCCACCTACAAACTGGCACGTTTTCTTGCTGATATACTGCGACCTTTCACTGGAAAAACCACCTCTGCGGTACTAAATTCTACTCACCTGGTATCGACAATCAAAGGCATTTCCCTATCCCCAAACGACCTGCTTGTCAGTTTTGATGTGGTGTCCTTGTTCACCAAAGTCCCGGTACCTGACACCATCGCTATCATTGAAGACCTGGTTCATCAAGGACTGCATACTGATGTACCCCCCTGGTGAGACATTGCTTAACCAACACATACTTCACCTGGAATGGAACTTTCTACAAACAAACTGAGGGCACCCCAATGGGCTCCCCCCTATCTCCGGTTGTAGCCAACGTATTCATGGAAAAATTTGAAACTGACGCCATCCAGACTGCCACTCTACGCCCGACCTTATGGAAGAGGTACGTTGATGACACCTTTGTCATCTGGCCACATGGCCAGCCTGCTCTAGACCAATTCCGCGACCACATCAATTCCATACACCCAGCCATCAGATTTACCATGGAGGTCGAAAAAGATGGCAAACTTCCCTTTTTGGATGTCTTAATTAAAAGGAGACATGATGGTTCAATGAGCCACTCTGTCTACAGGAAAGCTACCCATACAGATGCTTACTTGAAACCAGATTCCCACCACCATCCATCCCAGAAGAACTCCCTCATCAAGACTCTATACCATAGAGCCCAATGCATTTCCGACCAGGAACACATTACCAGTGAACTCAAGCACGTACACCAGGCTCTCAGGGCTAATGGCTACTCCGACTACACAATCCGCAAAGCCATCACTCCAGTCATGAAGAAGGATCCTCTTGTGGAGCCACTCAAAACCATCACCTTACCCTACATTGCAGGGGTCACTAAAAAGATCTCCAAAATCCTGAATAAACACAAGATCCAGGTCCGATTCAACACAGTACATAAAATCCGTGATTTAGTTCCATCTGTAAAAGATGCTGTTCCGGACATACAGTACCCGGGCGTTTACAAACTAAAGTGCCTCTGTGGTAGTAGCTACATTGGAGAAACCAAAAGACATATCTCGGACCGCATCCGCGAACATAAAGCAGACTTGAAACACGGTAGGACGAACTCCTCTGCCGTGGCAGATCACTGTTATAATTCAGTGGGCTCACATGACATTGACTTCTCCAAGACGGAGGTTCTTTGCAAACCAACCGGCTACCATGAGAGATTCGTTCATGAGGCCATTCACATATACAAGCACAGAGACAATTTCAACCGAGAAGATGGATTCTGGCTTAGTAACCACTGGAAAGATGTTTTAAATCATTTCTGTTCTTAATTAATTGTATTTTTACGATGACCTTCAGACCGCAGCTCCTTCGCCAGCATTGACTCTTAATACCTCTCACACCACGGTTAATGGTATGGTTTTACAACATGGAGTATGAATAGCGCCTCGCAGCTGTCTCTCTCCCCCTCCTCTGTTCCGACCATGGACGAACTCGTCCGTCTAAACGGGGCCCGTAGCTATCCGTGGTGCTAAAGTTGAGGGTAAGAATCCACCCATTTTTTCGCCATATAGCATTGTGATATATAACGACTTATTGTTGGTAGCTTAGCTGATTGGAGAATATAGAGTTTATTGATAACATTAAGGTAAAGTTTTTTATTGGTTCACTATATAGTACTGTGAATAGCTCAGATGTGTAGGCCTTGACTTCAACATAGTCATTTCTGTGACCAGTCACTAGCTAATCACTCAGTTATTTCAATGCTAAATTCGCCTAGTTATTTCAATGCTAAATTCTCCTGTTTGATTTGTACTAAGTGCCTCGGTGAATGTGTATGCTCTGACTTTAACGTAGCTATTTCTGTGAGCAGTTACAAGCTAATCACTCAGCTATTTCAATGCTAAATTCTATGCTAATTCCATTGTCAAGGGGTGCCTCTGCGGATGTGTATGCCTTAACTTAGCTATTTCAATGCTAAATTCTATGCTAATTCCTTTAACAATGGGTGCCTCTGCGGATGTGTATGCTTTAACTTTTAACATAGCTATTTCTGTGACCAGTCACAAGCTAATCATTCAGCCATTTCAATGCTAAATTATATGCTAATTCCTTTGTCAAGGCGCTTTGTTCCTCTCACACAGCTTAAAGGCCGTGATCTGAACGTGGCTCTTTCACTCCAGCGCTGTCCTACCAGACAGTCTCGTCCCTTCACCTGATGAAGGCCGCTTGTGTTGTGGCCGAAACGTCGTGAGAATATTATTGTGTTATTTATGTTTTTGCTTTGGTTAAAATTGGATATTTAAAACTCATATTTAAAATGTTGTTTTAAGGTTGCTCTCCAAAACAGTACACATGCAGTAACAGCACCACGGAGTGTCTGGACTTAATCTATGTTTGTGATGGAGAAGTTGACTGTAGTTATGGATCGGATGAAAGCGACTGTGAGCGAGGTAAGGTTTAAATATTTATATCGGTCCGAATTGTTTCAATAGTGATGTTTCTTTTGTAGGGTATGAAATGTGTAGTTATCAAGAGAGGAAAATGCAAACTAGGTTACCAATAAAGAAGTACATATTGTTGAATTAGATACATGTAAACCCTAATTAGATACATATATTTACATATCTACAACATTTATTTGCACGAAACCAGAGTGTGCTGCAAGTGAGTTCCGCTGTGATGATAAGAAGCACTGCATTCGTGGAAACCTGTACTGCAATGGGGAATTCGACTGTGCAGACCAGAGTGATGAGAAGCCAAACTGTCAGTGCCACCCTGACCAACTCCGTTGTGGAAACGGAACCTGCGTAGCGAATGAGAGCTTCTGTGATGGAATCAATGACTGTGGGGACTTCTTTGATGAGAGCAACTGCAGTGAGTTAAGGTTTAGTATTAAAATGACTGAATTTTCACCACTGACGTCCTCCCAGAGACTGTCACGTGCAGACACACATACAAGAACACATCGAGTTTATAAGATACGTACAGACCATGCATACAGGCACAAACATCACTTCTGTACTCTACTTGTATGCTGCCATATCTAAGCTCCCCACCTTCATCAACCCACGTTGACCGGCGTGGTGAAGTATGGTCAAATAACCCCTATGATCCGCACGACATGACCTTCATTCAGCAGTGGATTAATAAAGGATTGTCCATGGACATGTACAGTCCTTTGTACATAGATTACTAAAGCTGTGTACTTTTAAAGAAGAATATAGTAGTTTTAATCAACTGAAATATTACATTTAAAAACATTGTTTTTTTTCTTTCCTGCAGCTTGTACTCAAAATGAGTTCACATGCAGAAACAGCAGGGAATGTGTGAGTAGCATGGATGTCTGTGATGGGATCACAGATTGCAGTGATGGATCGGACGAAATCAACTGTAGCCAAGGTACTTTCTAAAAATAATATTTTATGTTCATATCTTTTAATTAAAATATAAAATACGGATTGACCAGTTTGGACTAGGGTTGTTAAATATCAACTGATAACCAGTCACCTCTCATTATGGATTGCCGGTTGATTATTAAGCCATGGTTACATCACTCCTATCAAGCCTCGCCACTGTCAAACCACGTTCCAAATAGAGCTCATTTTCAGATGGCCTGCATGGAAGACGTTTAAGACCATCCCATCCAAGCCAACAAATGAATGGCTGCACCTGAAGAGTGTGGGCCTACATACCTTCTATAATCACCCAGGAATGGCTGTCCTTAATTCTCGTGGCATCACTCCACATCGACCAGCCCCACCTCATTTTAATATTCATCAGTGGTCGACGTCCTCCAAATGGACAGCCCCCACCCCTCCTCATTCATAATCATGAGCAGGTGACGTCACTCAATATGGAGTACTCCAGGAATTCATATTCTTGGGAAACAAATATATATATATTTTTTAATATTAATACAAATATTCATAAAATATTATTTTATTGTTTCCCTTCTACGTGACTTTACCGAAAGAACCAAGAACATCATGAACAGGTTACGCCCTATTCGTATTCTTTGGGTCTTTCGGTAAAGTCACGTTGATAGAACAATAAAATAATACAAATGAAAAATAAGTGAATAAAAAAGGTTACGTCCTCCACATGGACCCTCCCTCATTAATAATCATGAGCATGTAATGTCACTTAACAAGGAGCACCCTCCCCCCCTCATTAATAATCATTAACAGGTGACGTCCTCCAAATGGACACCCCCCCCATTCATAATAATTAGCGGCTGACGTCACTCCACATGGTGGGCCGAGGCGCCTCCCCCTCCTCGGCGTGAACTTACAACCCTCACTGCAAAGGCAGAACCCGCACGTCACACGATCTCCGTGACGCTGTTGTTGAGACATCGGAGTCAAAAGACGTCATGATGAACAAGGGATTATAACCTTTAAATGAAATAGGTCTGTGTCACCGCGCCCTTACAAATTGCACACGCATTAATGCAATATCACGTCGCGGTCTGCTTTTCACTTGCAAGTTTCAGATTTACTGCAATACACCCGTCCTTGGGTGGGCAAAAGGCTAGTTATTCATAGTTGTCACCATATTGTAGCTTCAATCATCATTCAACGTTGCTTGCCTTTAAACCCTCAGAGAACTAAAATAATGTTGCAGTTGTACAAGGGTTTTACCATCTTCCATCTGATCACACAATATGTCTATTATAGTGAGGGTGGGAATCGGAAAAAAGATTGCACTTGAGTGCCAGGGTTATCCTCCAACCATGACACATTTTGCCAACACCGCACTGACATGGGTTACAGAATACTTTTTTTACTTCAACACATTTGTAGTGAGTCCAACTGAGTCGCAGACGTTGTTCCTTTTAGAGGCAGCACATTTATTTGTAACACGTATCACAAGGGGTAACTGCCCCTTCACTAGATACAGCCTAGGGTGGTGACCACCCAGCTAATTACTCTATACAGAGGAGTTACTGCTACGAAGGGTCGGACCCTCACTCGGGTCTCCGACGACGTGGTTGCCTCGTAGGACGAAGAGCTTCAGCTTGAGACGTAGAGCTTCCAGCTTGTAGATGTTGAGCTTCCAGCTTGTAGAATACAGCGACCCCGTTCCCTCTCAGGGACCTTATATCCCCCTACGGTCGGGGCCGCTCTGCCCTCGGCCCCACCCGCCTTCTCGAGCATTCTCGTCCTCTCTTGGTCCTTCTCAAGAACTTTCCCCGGACATGTGACCACCCACTAGCCCCCCCCCCCCCCTGGGGCCCCTTGTGTGGACTCTCCGAATCACGTGTCTACAGGGTCAACCAGAGTACCATGGCCCGGGGCAACCCTGCCCCTGGGCTGATGCTCACCCCCTCCCCCTCGGGGGAGCCCCCACCACACGCTGTGCGTGGTGCCCGCACTATCCCAGTGCTCACCAAGCCCTGCTAGGGCTGGTATTACACACAGCCACCCATAAGGTGCTGTCCACGAAGTAGGACCATCGAACGTGCAGGCACGGCCCTTCCGGGATTGCACCATACAGTGACATTCCCGATGTCACTACATATTTATAAAAAGCTATGTATTTAAAAAATGATGACACAACTCATCTTCTTTGGTTCTTTGGGTAAAGTCACGTAGAATGAGAATAAAATAATAAAATAAAACAATAAAATTCTCACGACGTTTCGGCCGCAACACAAGTGACCTTCTTCAGGTGAAAGGAACAACCTGTCGGGGCGACAGAGCTACATTGTCGTCCCGACAGGTTGTTCCTTTCATCTGAAGAAGGCCACTTGTGTTGTGGCCGAAACGTTGTGAGAATTTTATTGTTTTATTATTTTATTCTCATTCTACGTGACTTTACCGAAAGAACCAAAGAAGATGAATCATTGCAGTCACGAAAGCTTTAAATCGAAAGATGACACAACTGTTTGGTTATATGTGGTTACAGCCATATACAGATTTATAGCTCAAGCATTGGTCAATAACACCATGAATATTGAAGATTTAGAAAAGGAGGTGAGATTTGTTTTTTTATGCATTTTTGGAGACATTTTATTATGGATGTAACATTTCAAATTTTAATGCATATACTGTAAGTTTATTCCATTATGCAGTACAGAGGAGTCTTTAGATTCATAACTAGAGATTGTACATGCACTGTATGGACCAATACAATGTTATTGAATTGTGACTGCATTAGGGCGATTCACTGATTCATAGAGGGAAACATTGTTAATGGGTGGTGGTAGGTTAAGGTTTCCTCTACGCGATATTGTTTATTTTGTCTAATGCTTATCTCTATCCCCTCCCTGATCTCTGCTGCCTCAAAAAAGCTTCAAGATTATTTGAAAAGAACATTAGTAAACAAAAATGTTATGATACGCATCACCATACTGAATTAATCATAATAGTAATACATTGAGATAATAAATTAACAATGATACAAGAAATAGTTGATGTGATTTGTGAATTTTTGAGTGTACAAGGCAGAGGTTACTTTATTGTCTCTGCAACAGTCTGTGAACTTCACTCATCGAGTCCTCCACCACCGATGTTGAGTACTCGGTCTCCCAGACTGACAGTTTTGTCTCACCCACCATACTGCAGGTCAAAGCACGTCTTGCTTTTATCCTCACACTGCTCAACTTTGGAATTCCATTCCATCATTCCCTTTTCCCAGGTTCTATCCTGAGGTAGTGTGATGTTCGCAGATACACCATTACAAAGCAATCTGCGATATATTCTACACAGACTTGGGGCAAATCCAATTGCCAAGTACCGATTAAAGGTACGACGCATGAAGGGGTGGTGTAGCCAGCACCACATCCCCTAGGCTAGATTCAACTAAGAGGTGACTGGGTGGCTTTGAGGTCAGAGCACCAAAATGGCTAGAAGATGCGTGGTTTAACTGCTTTAACTGTGCTTTAACTGGGCTTTAACTGTGCTTTAACTGGGCTTTAACTGTGCTTTAACTGGGATTTAACTGGGTTCGAGAGTTGGTTGATTTGTCTCGGCTCATACACAAATGACTGTCAATCAAATAACATTTGATTCTGTACTTAATTTTGTAAAATTTAGGCTTTTGGAATAACAAGAAATATTGGTTTGACTTGTTTTCGCGACTGCGGAGCGATTCGAACCCGGCGACCCGAGTTCGATTCCCGCTCACGGCCACCACCGGTGACGATTATTTCAACCGGTCCTGGGCCTCCCCTAGGTCGACTCAGCCTCAAAGGAGTAAATGGTGTGGTGTGTGAACATCGCCACTGGGGAGACAAAGGCGGCCGGGCGTGATGAATCCAAGTCCTGGGAGAAGCCGGGTAGGAAAGCTAGTATCTCCACATATATAAAAGGCAAAGTTGTGATTGTCTGTTAAAAATGTTTAGCGTACTTCCCGACATGCAACAAACTTGAAATTTGCCGTGTGGGTACTTTCCAGACTATACACCATGCAAAAATTATTTAAAAATATAACTTTTGTATTCTTTTTTGGGGGGGGGGAGGGGCGCAATAATGCATACATTTTGCAGGGCAAGTGAGCTGTGACGTCACATCTCTGTCATGTCACCCAAACCCTCCGCGTAGGCCCTCGCACAAATGCGCGGCTGGGGGGGGGGAATCATGGATATAATATACTAGGCTACAAACTTTAAATTTGCCATGTGACTTACTCCCATACTGTACACAATGTTAAACGTTTTAAAAAGAAGACTTTTGTATTTTTTTTTGGGGGGGGGGGGGTCACCATGAAGTGTGTAGCGTCAACCCGCATACAGAACTGGTGAGAATCGATATCTGGTGAGCGTTTGTGGTACCGATTAAACGGGAATAGGCCGATTCAAAAGAAATCTACAACCTTTGATTCATATTCTTGGTTCTTTCGGTAAAGTCACGTTTAAGGGAAACAATAAAATAATAAAATATATATAAAACAATAAAATTATCACGTTTCGACTGCAACACAAGCAGTCATCATCAGGTGTGAAAACCAACGGCAAAGAAGCATTTGAAAGTGGCGGTTTGATTCCTTTGCTCGATTTAAATAATCGAATCTTGGCGCGCGAGCGTACGTTTTTATTTCCACCGCGCGTTGGGTTTTATTTAAATTAATGAGGTAATGATCTACGTTTTATTTGTATACGTTATGTTTTTCAGCTTCAAGAAGTTTTTTTACATTTATTTTTTCCCCCGGGCAACGCCAGGTACTTCCCGCTAGTTATTAATAAAAAGCTGGTGAACAAAGTTATGCTATGTTTTCAGAACAAATCCCAGCGTGTTCAAAACAAAACTCCCGATCACTTCAAAATAACCCCCCCAATCTGTTCCGAGAAAAAGCTCAGACGGTTCAGAACACCACCTCCGCCTTGTGCTTGAGAACAGAAACTGCACTTAGCTCAGAGGCTTGCATCAGCACCGCGGTGCCCGCCGGGAGCGCGGATTCCACCAATCAGAGGTGAGAGAGAACGCGGGACTGCGGGCTGCATGCACGCTTCATTCACCCCGTGGAATAATTTACCGTTGTTAATTTAACACAAATAAATTTAACAGCTCCATCAGCGCCGCCAAGAAAACAGCAGTACGTTCCGGGATCTCTTTTAAACAATACCGTAAGAGAACACTTTCCTTAAAAAAGAAAACCCCGTGGAGTGACACTCGCGTAAGGCCGTAGATGAAGCACCGGCTGGTCCTTGCGGCACTGCCGGAATCGGAGCGCCCCCCCTCCCCACCGCGGCTAGGCCGAAAGGCCCGTCCCGAGGTCGCGTACAGTTATTTTCCATGAGTGACCGCACGTACAATTTAAATTAATTAATGGTTTATTTGAACGAGTTAAAATACCACATTACTATTGTAAGGGTGGGTTATTGAATCGCACTCGTTCTGTTTGCGAAGGAAAGCATCACGAGTTTCAGGATGTTTCAGTAGAGTCCTGCATTTGGGATATTTTAACAGGCCATTAAAGAATGGCTAATTGACTGAGAGAAAGTAATAATTTTTTAAGAATGCATGTTACGTTATATTGTTTTGTCGCTGAAATTCAATTGGAAACCAGGTCCGTCCTTCCGGCATCTCAGGACCGTGTGAGATACAGTATCATTGCGGCTATTAATGGTGATTCGCCTTCGATTCGTATCCTGACCAGGTTTCACAATTATGAAAATCCTTGTGGGTAGACTCAGTCTTTCAACCCTTCGCAATCGATAACATGAGCACCATTTAGTGTAAAGTCAACAGTGGTTGTGCTATGGATAGAATTTGGCCTTCTATAGTGATGTGCACTTTCCTCCACTCTGATCCAGAGGCTGTCTACAGGAGCTGACCCATGCTCGTTCGATTGGGAAACCACCTCGACTTGAGGTTTAAAAGTACTCGTGAACCCCCTGAAGAAGCCTATATAAAGTTAGTGTTGTTGAGTTATCGTGTGAACAATCACACTTACCGGCAGCGAACAGTAAGGAAACGCACAGTAAACTCACACTTCCACTGTGGTGAAATATGGTCACATGTGACCGACACGGCATGGGGACGTCTTCATCCAGCAGTGGATTTAAAGTTGCCTGAGTATTAAAATAGTTTTTCATATGACACTTTGATGTGTAATGGTATGTGTCCAGTGATGGACATGGAGGGGTTCGGTGAACTACTGCAGCAGGCCGAGCAACTGGCAGCTGAAATCGAGGGAGTGTCAGAACTGCCTCAAGTGGAGCGCAATCTGCAGGAGATCCAGCTCGCCGGGGAGCGGCTCCGCTCGCGAACTCTCACTCGCACCTCCCACGATGCCGCCGACGTAAAGGCGTAAGTGTAACGATGCGCTCATCTGATGACAAAGAGTGAACAACGATGCATCTGTTCTTATGCTTTAGATACATGCACAACATCCTGCATGTAATAATATTTTAGTTTATAATACTACTGGAATGCAATTTATCATGTGCATTATTGCATGACAATTTTTTACTTTGAGGCACGGAGAAAAGCTATGTGTCTCTCAAAAGCCAAGCAAAAAAGTGATTTTAAGTCTTAAAAGTAGGTGTAGATTTCTGTGAATGTGCAGGAGGATGGCATTCCAGATGGAGGGACCTGCCACTGAGAAACGACACCGAGTATTAACGGTCCTGGTCCTTGGTATAGAGGGGTTGTGAGTCTTGCTGCGGAGAGTTCTAACCGTGAGCTGTAGTCCAGAGTGACAGAAGTCAAGAGAGATACAGTGGACGACTGAAAGTGGAGTTACAGTGGCCAAGGCAGGTGATCGGGAAGCCAGTTGAGGGAGGCGAGGCAATTTAGCCGAGGGTGATCGGCCACCGAGGTCGACATGGGTGAGCTTTTGTTAGATTTCCTGGGGATCAAGCAAGGACAGAGTTGCAATCGTAATGGCGAGATCTAACTGTGCTGCAGGTGATGGTATTGGCGATTTAATTGGTGATGAGTGGACATAAAGGACAGAGGACCCTAAGGTGGTATTTGCAAGATCTGATGATGTGGTTGGTGTGGCTGTCGAAGGATAAGGTAGAGTCCAAAGTGACACCGAGGAGCTTGATGTGGTCAGATAAATGGATGGGGGGAACTTGTGCTTTTTATATCAGAAGTTGCTTTCTGGTGCCGATCTGGATGGCCTCGGATTTGGAAGCATTCAAGGAGAGATCATTGGCCTAAAACCACTGCTGAAAGGTAGCAGTACACTCTGGTCCAGAGGTTTTGGTGGAATCAGCTGACCCAAAGAGTAGGGTGTCATCTGCGCAGGAATGGCATTTGACACCAAAGAACTCAATGAGGTAGATAATTCGGTTCTTGTGTATGGAATTATGTTTAGGAGCTAAATGCCATTGTCAAGGTCTGGTCGCCACGAGAGGTAGTGCAGACTATATGGCATGTGTCCAGTCTATAGTGGTTGATTATATAGTCCACTGTTTGGATTGCATGGCCACAGTTGCGCTGTGGCTTGTCTTACATTTTTCCATTTATGAAGATGTGTTTAGCAGCCAGTTGATGTTCTAATGCAGTTGATGGCCAATTGGATACATGTAGGTTGTGAATAGCAGTGGTCTGATGGTAGGTGGACTGAAAGGAGCAGAAGTTGGAAGAGGAGGTTATTTGGTCTTTAAGCTGGATGAGGGCAGGGCATTCTGGGAGCTTGGAGAGGGTGGACACGTTGATTAAAGTTGATAGCTTAACATATATTATGCCTGCCTGTGCCAAAGTCACCTGCAATGCTCTCAATCTTGTTACATCTCAGTAAGTTAACCAGAATTTAGTCAGAATAGTGCTCGAGTGGGTGATCACCATATACAACAGGTTGTTCATAGGATACAGGCTATGTTGTGGGCAGCAGAGAACATTGTACGCTACTACTATTTTCCATCTACGCTGCCCTCTACCATTCTATAGACCAACATGGTGAGGTGTGGCCAAATAGCTCTCATGCTATATCTAGGTTCTCATTTCATATATTACGAGCGAGATTCACATCTTGGAGAAATAGGCAAAACCCTGGTGGATTTTTTCCCCACCTGTTTTCAGTGGTGGAGGTAAAAGCAGGTTTCCACAAAATATCAGGAACATTCGCACACTTGAACTTTATGGCGGTACCCGGGGGTTCCATAGTACCCCGGCTCTCGCATAATGTCCGTGATGCAGTAATTGTTAGTCTGTTGATTGTCGTCGATTCGGCAATCAACTCATTTCGACGAGCTGTACACGATGCAGTATTCACAGTTAAATTTTTCGATAACGGATTTTTTATGCTAATGTTTGGCGTTTCGACATCGTGGAGTAGCACTGATTTTGGATTGATTGATACCCCAGTCACAGAGTTAAGTACACCCCTGTAAAAAATTGTGTCCCATAAATAAAATATTTAATTGCCTTGGCCATTTTGTATTATTGGGTACCCCGCGGTCCTGCCATAAGGATCACTTGTAAACATTTGGAAAGTATGTGTGTGTGTTTATTTCTTCCCGTAATAATGGAATGCAGGTCTATTTTATTGGGCTCCAAGGGCCTGGACATCTCAAACATTTCCCATCGCCTTGAGAGCCTGAGCGCAGTTACCACCTTTGAGCCCCTGGAACCTGTGCGGGACACTGACATACAGGCAAGCCACTGGCTGGGTGTTTTTACTGCACACTCACACCTTGCATATGATGCAAAGCGAAACTCATTCTGAAATGCTTCGTAATACTATGTGCTCGATCAGAGTTGTGTCTTTAAAGCAGTAGCACTTGATGATTATGACTGTAAGGCGATGTAAAAAAAGTTATGTTATTCTAATGCCATACTGCTCTCATCCTAATATACAAATGCTCTTGCAGGGATTTTTGAAGAATGAAAGGGATAATTCTTTGTTCTCGGCTATTGAGGAGTCCAGAAGGAGGGTGAGTGAACATTCTTATTTTCATAAAACGAACCACTAAATGTTCTTTCTGGCCACAACCTTTTAATTTATCGTTTGTGAAACGTGCACATATGCTTTATACAGACCTTTGCTCAGGCTGAGAAGTACCACTGGGATAACATGCTGGTGGAGTGGGAGCAGGAGAAGCAGCGAATACTGAACACTTTGCTGGGATCTGAGGAGGACATGTTCGATCTTGCTCCAGAGGCAGAGGTCTGGTTCCCAGTATCTTGCAATAACATTAGCATTCATATTGAATGTTAACATTTCTGTTGAGTGGACATTGTACCCCAATGTCTTTTTATTTCTATTTTTCAGGGCATAAAAAATAGATATGAAACATCAACTAAAGGTGTATAAATGTTGATTCGTCAAGTGTGCACCATTTATGTTTCATAAAAGTATAAACTGTTGTCAACTTCATTGTTTTCATATTCTTTTAATGGGGAATATTCCTTGGTTGTCAAGATGTTTAACATTTTTATTTATTGTTGTAACATTCTAACCCGCCCTGACTGTACATCTGTGAAAAAGAGCTTATAGCTCATCAGATTTCTTCAGGATAAATATTTATTGTGATTGTGATCCATCGAAACTTGTTACTGTTCATGTTCAGCGCTTCACTATGCCCTCGTGTAGCTAAAACCAGAAACTCCCATCTCCATTTTCAGCTGAGCATTCTCACGGACACCGCCCCTCCAGGCCGCAGCTCCATGGACAGCACTGAGATAGCCTATGCACGCCAGGTGAAGAAGACACTTCACCTGCCTTATCCATTTCATATTAATTATCCTATTCCTTCGCTAATAGGAGGGTGAATCTTCCCACACAGGTGTACGTCTACAATGAAAAGATTGTGCAGGCACAGATCCGTCCCAGCTTGGTGGAAATGTTTGGCGGCGTAGCTGAGAAACTGGACGACAAGGTATGATGGGTACCCAAAATGATATCTACGTATTATATACCTGGCAAATTGTGAATGCGTTCATAGAAAATAAAGTAATGTAAGCAATGCAAAATGTGCCACTTATGTGGTGTTCCTTGCACTTTTAGGGTGTCAGGCCTGAGCATTAAATAATTCCGAGGTGGATAAAAAAGCAAGTAGAATTCTGTGAATTTTCATATAATTGTTATAAAATATATGGACTTTAATGTTGGAGTATTATGTGTTGCGTTATGTGGTATTGACTCTAAAGGCCATGTTCCGGTACGTTAGGGCTTTGGGATCAAGCCAGAAGATTATCGTGTAGATATTCTACCATTACCTCACTATATCTACAGCTGTCTTAAACCTGGTATTGTTGATATTCTCTGATGTGATTATTTGTCCCAACGGAACTGCAGATCCCCCATTAACTGTGATCTCAGCTGGCTTACTGCGGCCAATATAATTATCTACTTACATTCGTGGTCTGGAATTTGTCTTGTCAAGTTATCGCATCTGTTTGGCTGCCTTAGGGGTGCTCTTAATTATAATCTGGAATTGGAACATCAAGTTGCATGGCAGCCAGCATTTATTGTTACGTACCGCTGGTTGTTTCCTGTTCCGTGACCAATCTGTAGTTGTCCTGGTACCTCGAGCTTGTAATAAGTTATTGGCATTACACAGTGTATACGTTTGACTTAAAATGAAAATTTTCTATGACTGGATCTTGTAACCAGTTCTTCCACTAGAGGGAGGTCTAGTTCTTTTTGTAAAGAGGATGGAGGAGGGCTGGTCTTGGCAGACATTGGACCAGTCTTCACAAGTCCAGCAAATAAACGGAAGAGCAGATACTGTAAGGGCAGATCTTGGAGGGCACATGTAACTGCAGCAACTGCGGGATCTAGCATGGGGTGGAGAGCATTAGTGATGTGTGGTGGCATCAATAACTCTGGCTAGAATGACATTTTATCTTTTCATTATGCTTATTTTCAATGTGGTTGCATTTGTTCACATGTGTGTGTATGTATAGAATGTGATAGAGCTGTGGTCGATGGTTCAGCACATGACTGATGTGCTTCTGGTGCCAGCAAAGGACACTTTATCATGTCGTGTTAACAAGGACATGCAGTCTGCTTTCGTCCGGCAAGCCCTGCTGTACCTGGAGCAAAGGTGTGTTTGTGAGGTTCACTGCTTCAACTTTTGAGGACACATCAGACTTATAAATTGGAAACCACACCTTATGAAGCTGAAAACTGTAACTGCTTGTAAGCTGGGGCTCCACGCTGTGCAGAAATGTCACCTGCCAGGCAGTCCCAGTTTAGTACTGTCAGTGACTTCTGCATCACAGGATTGTGTGATATTTGTAGGTGGCGTCAGTGGTGGTTTTTTTGCCTTTTATACTGCATTTCAACATTACAAGCTGTATATTTGCTTAGTTGTGTTTTTTTGTGGGAATGTGTTTTTATATATATAAAACATTTCCTGGGAAGGTCCACCCCTCAATTGGCCTCATGTTCAAGGACACGAGTCACAAGCTCTACAAATGTGATGATCTTGAATGAGGGCATTACATTGATTAAACTGTGCCAAAAATTCACCAATCATCAAATGTCTGCCGACAGCTACAAGAACTATGTGATGACGACGGTGTACGGGAACCTGCAACAGGCAAAGCTGGGCGGAGTGCCGGGGACCCTTCAGCTCATCCACAGCTTCATTAACATCAAGTTGCCTCCTCATCTTCCAGGCCTTCAGGTCCCTTGTCTTGTAAAACACTTGTAGAGTCCACGCCCATGCAATAACAGGCTTAGAAAATAGCAATTACGGTACACTAATTGGAATCCCTCATGTAAAAATAAAAAAAGTTAATGTTTTTGGAGATACAGAATAATGAAAATATTGTTTTGGCAACAAAACAGGTGTTAAGTTGTTAAAACACCAAACTGAAACCTTTTACAAGGACTCATGTCTGCATTAACCACAATACTTGTCAAAATGCAAACCAAAAACATACTCTGATAATATATGTATTGTCATGCAGACATGATTCCTTGTAAAAGGTTTCAGTTTGGTGTTTAACAACTTAACACCTGTTTTGTTGACAGATAAAAGAGGAAAAACCTTTTCTCTTATTTTGGTACTGGCAAAGGAGGTCCCATGATATTGTAATAGATAATAAAGATATGAAAATGGGAAAAATTACCATCCTCATCAGCCATCTATAAACTGCAGAATAGAGGCATATACATATTGTCACCATGCCTCGTGGTCCTCCGATGCCACAATCCAACTTGTGCCTGTGCATGAGCTGATCTCATCGCTGCATCCCCACGGAGGTCGTCCTCTCGGGCATGTTGTCTCGTTTGCCATTTCAGCAGAAGTCTTGTCCATCTGCTATATATAATCCCCTCTAGTGGTGTATCCTGACCAGGGCCACTTTTTAACAGTCAAAACGTATGATTCTGCGTTTGTTCTCTGAACCCATGTGTTCTTCCTTTTTGTCACGGATTCCCAGCATGAATCTCTACGTGCTTCTTTGAATATTTTAAAGCTTTTTTCCCCCCCATTATCTTTAACAGTCCATGTATTCTATCTATATATAGCAGGTAATTTGCACTTGTTGAAAACGTTCTTCTTTATGAATATAGGTATGTTGATTTTCATTATTAAAAAAATCCCTACATTCTGCTTTCATGCACCACTTAATGTTTTTCAATCATTTCCTTGGATATGCATATTTTTTTCCGGTTGTCTCCAACAATTATTTCCTTTTGTTTGGCGAACCTGTTGTACATGACTTGTGCATCTTCAAATGAAAGTATTGTTTTTGGTGGTGTGAAATAATACGAAAGTAATAACTAAGACAAATTAATTACCAAACGAATATTAGAATGAATACTCGTAAATTTTACTATTCATTTTTATTTCGTAAATAAATCGTAAATAAATCAACAACTTGAAGCTCTGTCGTCCCGACAGTTCTGTTCCTTCACCTGAAGAAGGCTACTTGTGTTGTGGCCGAAACGTCGTGAGAATTTTATTGTCTTATTTTATTATTTTATTCTCATTCTACGTGACTTTACCGAAAGAACCAAAGAAGATAAATCAACAGTTTCAGTATTGTAGCCATAATGCAGATCTCATTTATTAATGTTGTTGAAGATGAGCCTTTGTTATTTTACACTTTAAAACATGATAAGAAATTGCTTTTGAGGCAGTTTGAAAATGACAATGCATACACGTTTTTTAATGGTTGCATTAACTGGAAAATAATCAACCGTGGTATAATAATAATAACAGTGAAAGTGTATTTATTTTCATTGTGCTGGCAAAAGCCGTGGTGCCATGGTTCATGCATTGCAAACTAAACGATTTTTTTTTGTTTTACCAGGTAAGGCCCACTGAGCTAGAAAACTATTTTTCAAAAGCGACTTGGCCAAAAATTATAGCTCAATGAAGTGGGTCATGAAACTCTCTAAATGCACGTTTCTAAATGTGGGGGGGGGGGGAAGCAGAGGACCCGGAGAATATTCCACACGATCACGGAGAGAACATGCAAACTCGAAATGTAAAGGTGTCAGGGTTGGGATCGAACCCACAAACTGTATACCAGGCGAGGTAGTTAACACCTTGCCACTGACCTGAGTTTGATTCCTGGTCATGGCTCATATAAATGGCAATTGGTATTTTAAATGTTTATGCCTTCTCTTTTACCAGTTTACATTTCCCCCATGGCTAACATGGCTTGGGGAGGTCTTCATCCTCTTTTATAATTATTTTTGCAAAAGAGTCATGCATTCCTGAAGGCAGAGTCTTATGTTTATTTTCAAGCAATTCAACTGTGTAGAGGAGCTCCTTAGTTTGTGGTTCGTTATTGCACGAGCTTTCACTGTGGTGTTGTTTTCTAGGACGGGGAGGTTGATTCTCATCCCGTGTGGGCCGTGCTTTACTATTGCCTGCGCTGCGGCGATGTCACAGCTGCCCTCTCAGTGGCCAACCGCTCACAGCACCAACTCGGCGAGTTTGTGGGCTGGCTACAAGAGTACGCCCAGAGCCAAGACCGAATGTGAGTCATAGTGCCATTGCAAAAAATATATATATATTCCACAGTCATGTTATTAGATAGAGCTGATTGCTTATGACTACTGATTTGTTCTTTGGATGGATTGACATGCAGGCTTTCCCCAACCTCGGCGAACCGCTTGCGCACGCATTACCGGCGCGCGGTCAGGAACGGTACGGACCCGTACAAGCGTGCTGTGCACTGCCTGATTGGCCGCTGTGACGTCACAGACTTCCACGGGGACGTTGCTGAGAAAACGGAAGACTTTTTGTGGCTGCGGGTAAACCTATTTGCTGTATAGTCAGATGACAAAAAAACTGGAAGTGCATTCATGTTTGTGGTTTGTTTTTAGCTTAGCAGACCACATCTACAAGTGAAAATAGCAGCTTCCAAATAAGTAAAGTAGTTCAGATATGATAGTGTGATTCAAAATGATTTTAGCCAAGCTAAGGCGCTTAGTCAAGAAAATAGCATGCCTGGTGCCATTAAAATGGTAATGTGTGTGTGCGTCAAAAGGCATGTTTTGTCACTGAGCTGTTTTCGCTTTGCTATGCACAGCTTCACCAGGTGAGCTTCGAGGAGGAGGCTGGACTGGGGACACAAGACCGCATATCACTGCCGCAGCTACAGACACAGCTTTTAGAGGAGTATGGTACGATACCGTGTTTACATTCAAACTTCACTTCTGGCTGTAACTCTAATATACAGTATTTTATCAATATTAATTGCTAGCAATGCGCACGTCCTTTGGACGTGTCCCTCGGTCCCGCCTTACCTCCAGCCAGCATTTTATATATATAATGTAGTATGATTATTATTCATTGATTATTTTCATTTTGTGAAGTGACCTAAGCTTTCAACAGCAATGAAAACAGACATTGGCTTTAAACCACTTGTGTAGTTGGAAGGTAGACTGTTACAGAATTCATCCCTGGGGTCTCACGGTTAGTATAATCTTAGCACAGGTTGAAATTTAACTCCAAATCCTGCAGGGCTCTCTGCTGTTGTTCATAATTGATGCAAATATCATGAGTTTGTCGTGGGCTGGCATGTTGATGCATGTCTCTGTGTATGTATGTATATATGTTGAACTTGTTTGGCAACGTATGTAGCCAACCATGCTGATCGGAGGTGCGTGTGTGTGTGTTGCACCGTAATCTGTGTGTACATGCAGGGGAAACACACTTCTCGGCCGGCCAGCAACCCTTCCTTTACTTCCAGGTGCTCTTCCTGACGGCACAGTTTGAGGCGGCCGTGGCATTTCTCTTCCGCGTGGAGCGTCTGCGGGCACACGCCGTGCACGTGGCGCTCGCCCTCCACGAGCTGAAGTTGCTGCTCCAGCCGCCGCTGCAGGCGGCACAATTGTGTACGTCTGCTGCGCTCGCGTGATGCACGACGGTGGCGATTGGTAGCAACCATGGCTGCTGCCTCTTATTGAAAATAATATGCATTCCCGCACCCATCCCGCAAAAAAAAACATGGCTTTTGTGTTCTTTGGGTCTTTCGGTAAAGTCACATAGATAGGTTCAAAGAAAATAACAAAAACTATGACGTTTCGATCGCAACACAAGCGTTCGTCATCAGGAAGCTTTAAGTCAAGATTCATGGCTTTTGTAGATATGATATGTATGTTGAACTTCTATCGCACCGTACGTAGCCAACCGCACTAAACGGAGGTGTGGGGAAGGACAACAAGCTAAACACAAAAAGCAGTTTTAAAGAAATTAGTTTTCAATCTATATTTAAAAGTGCATTGCTCCAGTGGCTTCCTAATATCGGAAGGAAGAGCGTTCCAGATGGCCACAGAAGCGCATCTGAAAGCGCGCAATGCGGTAACCATGTTTAATCACCATGCTGTCTCGTGTTTACCAAAACGATTTCAAAGCTTCATTTGAGAAAAAAGTGAATTGCTGTGTGTGGCCTATACAGTTAGGGTATCTAAAAAACTAAATGGAATTTTTCATTTTTTTCTTGTTGCAATAACTTGCATCAACAATATTGCAAAATCAATTGTTTGCTGTATGTGCACCAGCAAACCCGTGTTTTTAATCTTATAACTGACGAATATCAAGTAGCTATGTAGTGGGCATCAATATCGAATGCTTTACTTTTCCGTGGTTCCATATATATGCACCCCACCTACATCAACCAGCACTGACCAACGTGGCGAAGTATGGTCACATCGACGTGAGATGCCCCTCATCCAGAAATAGATTTAAAAAGGGCCTTGCATATTGTGATTAAATATATTTTTTTGTTTTCTTATTTCCATTTATGCTTAGTCAATAAAAAAATAATGTCGCTAATTTTGCTCCCATTAATCGGTGCCTTGTTGACGAAAATGAATGCCATCCAATGGACACCTTTTAAGATGAGTGGATGAGGTAATGATTGTGACGATGGTGGATCTTTAGTGAGCAGAGAGCCCAACGATCCTGGTCCCGTGCGGCGTCTTAACCTGGTGAGGCTGCTGATGCTCTACACGAGGAAGTTTGAGGCGACTGACCCACGGGAAGCACTTCAGTACTTCTACTTCCTGCGGTCAGTGATTTTTTGTTTTGCTTCCCCAACAGCGTTTGCACTTATAATGTCCCCGTGGGAGATGTGTGCGCTTGAATCAGAGTCTTGTTGAAATTTTGCTCTCATGATTGTTTTGGTAAGGTGCTTTAATTATACACATTTTTAAAAGTGTTTTAATGTACTCTTATTGATTTTATAGTAGTCCTTTGTGCGTGTTAAGTTATTTATACCTTTGTCTGCTTTAGAGCATCCTATTGCTTGAATGATGTAATAGTTCTAAAAATGTGCAAATGTATTTTTGTATTATGTATATTTATATGTTAAAAAGTTATTTGCGTTGGTGCGTTGTTTTGGTATATTTGGAAGATTGTTCAGCCTTATTGGTAACAGAAAAACAATGTTTTTGCAAAGATTCCATTATATACACTGAAAACAATATTATATTTTGTGGTCCACATTCAGCTTTAAGAAATTTGAGAGTAAATGATAACTGACAGGTTTTATACAGGCGAGAGACTATGAAGAGGCAGTGTATAGATCTGGCAGGAGAGCACTGCATGTGCCTCTAGGCAGTGTGTGAAAATAATCTTTGGGAGGGAGCTGAACTTTTTATTACTAGAAATGAAATATAAAATGTTGAGAAAATTAATTTCTGAAAATGAAAGAGCGCTAGTTTATCACTTGCGGATCATGAGGTAGACTTTGCATGCCCCAGGGGCGTGGGGCACCCACGTGCACTACTCGTCATATTCTTGCACTCATTCCAGAGTTCATAGATATATATTTTACCGTATAGGCTGTGTATTTCAATGCAAGCTGATGAATTGATTTGAAAATGGCTAAGCCTTGTTAGACCGTGCCACCGCCATGGCATGTGCCTTTGCTTTTATGCCGGAATTTTAGCGCATGTGCCATGACTGATTGGAGTTGAGCATTCGTTTGGGGTTGGGTAATTTTTCTGGGCAGTGCGGAGAAGGATGGACAAGGAGAGAACATGTTCATGCGATGTGTGGGAGAGCTGGTGATAGAGACGCGGGAGGTATGTACTTCGATTACCGTGCACATTTTTTTTATGTGTGGGTGGAGACACAAAAATATACACGTGGTAATGTATATGAATGCAAATTTAATATAAATACAGGAATATGTTTTCTTTGTGTTTTCATAGATATAATAGAGGCACATTTTAAAGGAATTTGTCATAACAAATGTATATTGGCTTCATAATTGCCTTATCTAGATTTAAAGCTTTCGTGACTGTAAGGATCCATACTCTTTGGTTCTATTCGGTAAAGTCACGTAAAAAACAACAAAAAATGAAAAAAATTTACGACGTTTCGGCCACAACACAAGTGGCCTTCATCAGGTGAAGGGACCAGACTGTCTGGAGGACAGCACTCCAGCGCTGTCCTCTAGACAGTCTGGTCCCTTCACCTGTCCTCTAGACAGTCTGGTCCCTTCACCTGATGAAGGCCACTTGTGGCCGAAACGTCATGAAATTTTTTATTTTTTGTTGTTTTTTACGTGACTTTACCGAATAGAACCAAAGAGTAATTGCCTTATTTTTTTTTTATGCGTCACTGTAATAGCCCTGTGTGTGTTGCTTTCACGAACAAATCAAAAACATGATAGCAGCTGGTGAATGTAATTTAGCAATAGTTAGGCTCATAGTTGCAACTGTTCAGTCTTCATTTTAACTAATGGCTTTGATTTCTGTGTGCACAGTTTGACATGCTGCTTGGGAGGCTTGAGAGGGATGGAACCAGGAGGGTAAGATTTGAAAGTCAAAAGCATGTCGACTTGGGAGCTCTCTGCCAATCACTATAAGTCTGCATCTTTGAAAAGCACAGCTGATTTAATTCAATCACGTGTTGCTTTTGGTTCGGTCTTTTAATTGTTTTGCTGTCATTGAACCCTGCTCCTGTGCACATGCGTTCAAACTTACAGCCAGGCGTGATCGACAAGTTTTCTCAGGACACGAGGGGCATCATTTGCTCGGTGGCAGCTGTGGCTGAGAGCAAGGGCCTGTTTGAGGAGGCTGTCAAGATGTACGACCTGGCAGAGGTACCTGTAGGGATGACAACTTTCATTGCCAACCAAGCAGAGGCTTGTAACTGATAGGCCTATACCTATTCCATGAAGGAATTGTCATGATTCAGGATCACGATTTGATCCAACAATTAATATATTTATATTAACACTGAAATATTGTCGCAATTATAGTGGGTGCACGAGTCAGAAGAAATAACTACATATGACATACATGAATATATTTTAATTGGTTCTTGTGTGCAATTCAATACATGTATCATGAGTGTAGGAATATATTTAATTGATGATTTGTGCATTGTAACACCTATCGGGGCTTGGTAAAATATTGTCAAGCAACCCCCACCATCAACGTGGTCTACATCATGCAATGGATTGACATAAGGATATGCATGACTTATTATTTATTCCATGAAGATGAACTTACATAGGCTTAGTCTAATGGAACTACTCTGAAGCCAGGATGGATTTCATTTTGCATTTTTATTGAGCATTACCTCTTGTGCCTCGTGGCGAGAGTGCTGATAAAATCCAAGCCCATATGTGAGTAATGCTGTGCGTGTTGCTCACGCTTTGCGCTGATAATGTTGCTCTTTGTTGTGATGGCACAGAAAGCTGACAAGGTGCTTGGGCTGATGAACCAGCTCCTGAGCCCCGTGGTGTCAACCCAGGGTGCCCTGCACTCCAACCGCGATCGACTCAAAACCATGGCGCTCGGCATTGCGGAGAGGTCAGTGCTCACATGTTCTGGAGCAAGGGACACAGACAAAGCACATCAGCTCGTGCTTGTTCAGTTATTTAGCTGCTTATTGTTGATGCTGTTTTGCAGCGATTTGTTTTTCTACAGCCCATGAGTAAATAACCTCGAATGCTTTCAATGTTGTAAGATTTCGTAAGCTAAGCGCGTTGATCCTCTTTAGTGGTTTGATGGGTGACCACTACACGCCAGGTTGTTACAGGCAGCGGCGGGGCTGTGCTATGTTGTGGGCAGCAGAGGACAGTGCAAAAAAATAAATGTGTTGTACTGCGCTTCTATGCTTCCACATGTTTGTTCCCTGTATTCATACCACACTAACCAGCTTTGTGAAGTATGTACTGACCAACCTGGTGAACAATGGTAAATAGCCTCGATAACCCGCACGGCATGGGGAACCCCCCCCCTATATAACAGTGGATTTGCAAATAGAGCTTTACATATATGTGTACATATTTTCCTCTACTAAACTTATTGGGCTATTGATTATCACCTTTGTTGGTTGATCTTTGTTTTGAGCGAAACCATTTTTTATTGTTGTTCGTTCACCTAAGTGCTTAGGTCCTTTCTGTTGACACATCCGTATGTCTGCACGCACACACAGGTATCGAACTCTGCATATCAGCACGGACAAGAGGATCGGTGCAACTTTCTATTTGCTGCTGGACCTCATGACCTTCTTTGAGGAGTACCACGCGGGCCAGGTGGACAGAGCCATGAATGTAAGGCTTCACACGCACTCGGAGGCAAATCTCCATGGCGTGGCCTAGAAATACATGAACTATTTATCCTGCTGTAGTTGGAGGAATTGTCATGATTCAGGGTTGTGATTCAACTCAAGAATATTTGCTTTGCTCTCTTTTCTACTGTTTAGTTTGTACCATCTCTATGGTATATTATAACTCTCCTTCTCTGTCATTTGTATCCTGTCAATTTATCTAATTTATTTTGTCTTATATGTGTATTTTAGTTTCTATTATACTCTTTGGGTCAAGATTGAGCTTATATTGTCTGTTGCATATGTACCACCTGTCTTTTTACATTGTATGCGTAGTTTCATGACCCTAATTGTAACACTAACATACAATTAGCATATTTGCACAAAGATGAAATCAGATATGCATGAAATTTGATAAATGTATCGTGAAAGTAAGAATCGATGAGTAAATGCATTGTTACATATCTAGTAGCCCATGTATTGCTACTGCTACAAAAATGCTCATAATCCTCCACGTGTCTCGTGCCTGCAGAAGAGATGCTACAGCAAACAAAGAGTGCATTGTCTTAATTTTTAAGAAATGCACAATGCGCTCTTATCCCTCCAATGCCGGAGCAGATGAGAGGCTCCATTAAATAAATAAAATTCGGCTACTGACCTTTGTGCACTTATTCAGATGAGTGGGTGTGGAATCTGCAGTGATGCCTTCATCACAGTGCATGGTGTACGCTGTTATCACCGGCAGGTAATGGAGCGGTTGAAGTTGGTGCCTCTTGACCCAGACAGTATTGACGAGAGACAAGCTGCGTTTCGGAACTTCTCAGACGAGGTACGCTGCTATATAAATCGGCTTGTTGATTTTTTGCAAGCACTGTAAATTCAGTGACCATTAACTAAGACAGCATGCACGTCCATCGCTTGGCTCAGGTGCGCAACAGCCTGCCGGATGTGCTGCTCGCCACAATGAACATCCTCCTTACCAAGTACCGCCGGGCCAAGGCGGTTGGGGGTGGCACCCCGGCCAGGCCACAGAGGACCGCCGACGACATGGACGCAGTGAGTGTACATCCCACCCAGTATATCCACACAGCTGTGCCACGTGTCTCCCTCGATAATGCTCGCCTAATGAATGGCGAACGGTCCTCAAAAATCTTGATTTGAAGCTTTCATGGCTGCAGGAATCCATACTCTTTGGTTGTTTCGGTAAAGTCACATAGGTAGAATATTCATGTCGATATAATTTTTTTCTATCTACTTGACTTTACCAAAAGAACCAAAGAGTATGGTCCTCAAAAAGTAATCCTACCTGACCTACTGATAAATAATTTTTGAATATATAACCGTGGACTTGCACACCTAATGAGCCAACAAATTTACTGGGGGCTTCGATGCGAATCCATTCGTGCATTTCTTCTCAGCAGCTTCAGAAGTGTCATTGATGGGAGAGAGCGATGATCGACAAGGCGGTGTGATAGCCTGATCCCCTTTGTGTCGCGGCGCAGCGCTTTGATTGCATTTTCGGGTCGGGCTAATTATGTGCATGCTGTGCTGTTCCTGTGTGCGTTTTGCAGCTGCGAAGGCAAGCGCAGGTGCTGCTCATGTTCTCGGGCGTCGTTCCGTACCGCATGGTTGGTGATACCAACGCGCGCCTGGTGCAGATGGAGTCTCTCATGAACTGACCGCTCCTGCTGGCCAAGCAGGGGGATTGCAGTGCGGAGTGGTGTTGTGGGCTTTGCCCAGTCAGTGATCATCAAAATATGCGACCATACACGTTGGTTGTGGAGTTACTAAAAGGAGGACGATGTGTTCTGCGCACAATAGGTGCTTAAAAAATTTACAAGGCATAATGTGTTTTTGTTATATTTTGTGTTACTTTTTATGACGTTGCTGACCAAAAGTGTACTTTCAATTATAATAAAAATGGAACCCATAAAGGGGTGAATACAATGTGCACATTTCCCTTGCAACCTTATGTTATGTCTAGTGGGATTTGCCCAAGCCTCTAATGGTTACGAGTGGTTTGATAGCACTGAGCGTATGACATCATAGCAGTGAGACAGCGTGCGGTGGAGAAGTTATTAATGAGAATCACAGCTCTGATTATGCTAGGGCCTGCCTGCGTTGGACACATTTCTGAAATCAAACCACGTATGTGGTTTTGGCAAATGTGGAAAAACTATTTCGTCGGTGCAGCCTCCACCATCCGTTAATGGGATGCATTTTCACAGTAAATCGAGATTCTGGAGGAGAAAAACTTTGAACCATATATTTTCACTGATAACACTTGCGTTAAGCACGCCTGATATGTTGTTATATGAATGCCAACAGGTTTTGAATTACGTTTTCCAAATAGCTTCTGCTTAAACTCCAATGTGTCTGATATGGCATTTGAGAAATCTGCTGGGGCAGCCACTTAATAGACAATGCCATGGAAGAATGCCATTGGTGTACGTCTATTTAACTTGGGTTGAAGCTTGATTTATACCTATTAAAACCTGAGTGAACTATTCAAGTGGGTTTATTATTAATATTAATGCGTATAGTTGGTTCTTTCGGTAAGTCACGTAGAAGGGAAACAAAATAATATTTTGTTTCTCTTCTACGTGACTTTACCGAAAACCAAGAATATGAATCCTTGCAGTCACGAAAGCTTTAAATAAAAAATAATGCGTATGTTTTCGAGTTTTTTTTAAATATATACTTTAAAGCTATGACAGTGCTTTGTAATTGTTTTGTTTTGCACAGATGGCAATGAAATTTCATGCTTGAGTGTTGGGGTTTATCGGTGATGAGTTGGTGATAATTATTATTCTCTATTGCCCTTTATCCTAATGTTGCACTGTTACATTGATATTGAGATAGTTATTCCAGTGGTGTCAAAAATGTACAGTCCATTTAAAGTCCCTGCCTCTGCCATAGTTCTCTCCATTGTAGGTACACAATGGATAATGGAACCTGACATACTCATGGCCTTTTTAATACCCTTTCTGTGTTTATAATACTCTATACATTTCCAGAAATGGAGCCGAGAGCCTTGAGAATTATTTTTTAACCAAGAGTGCATTTTCCAAGATGTGCCGACCCTGTAAATTACACACCACTGACAGGTCAAATATTGAGTGATTAATCGGTGGGAACATTTTTTTATCTTGGCTACACTAACATAAACCGCAGGTGTAGATTTACATCAAATTGAGGGATTAATGCGATACAATTGTAACTTGGAAGTGTTTAAAGAAATTAACGATTTATCCATAACTTCATCTTCTCTGTTACTGCTTCCAATTCCATAAATTTATCAAACTGCCAGTTACCCATGCACAGTAATGCATATTTAATTCCATTTGGCGTCTCTTTACAATTTTAAACTGGGTACTTCACAGCTACTGTTTTCAGGTTGTTGTGACCCATTAGAATATCCATCAGTGTCATTGTTCCGGGAGAAAAGCCACCCCCTCGGTTAAATATGTGATACGATGCCATATACGATTCCCGATACAAATTGAAGAGCATTTGTAACAGTGCGCCTCCTTGGCATTCTTTATTTAATGAATTCATTCTTTATTGTGTTCACAATAGCAAGAGGGCGGCATACAATAATTCAAAAAATATATATGCATTATGCATGCAACTGGAATTGACTACCAAAAATCGCTAAGATACTGTGACACATCAAAATGCGGTATTGGTGAGGATATACTTCTCACTGTGACCTCATATCACCGTTTCCTTTATAACAGGTCATGCATATTTTCACTATATGAATGCGCTGGATTTTTTTAAAACTCCATTGCCTTTTGACTGTTTAAACAGTTGCTGTAAAACCACATGATTACTCAAACCTTAACGTACAGCAGCTGTTGCTTATATGGAAGTGCATGGAGCTGTTGTGCAAAGGGCAGAGTTAGGGTGTGCCTTGGAGCTCAGCCATTCCTTAGATACTATCTGACCATCTTTCTCAGGCAACGATTACGCCACATGAGCACCCTGCGCCTGCTGCTTCTCATTTTCCAATTGAAGGAGTTCGAGACGATAATCCTGAATTATGAACCTTTCAGGGCACCAGACTACAATTACATATTTTTGGAGGATTGTTTTTTTATTCTATTTGATTTTTCTACCTACGTGACTTTACCGAAAGAACCAAAGTGTTTTTCATTTCAACTGAATGTTCATGGTTTTCTGTACGAGTCGCTCATCAATTCCGTAATGTTTTGTATAGCTGAATGGACTTTACTCCGCAAATATGCGTCGTGATAGCGGTAATTTTGCAATTATCAAACACCCTCAAACCCATATTCTTTGGGTCTTTCGGTAAAGTCACGTAGATTTACCCTCAATCCCAATTTACTCAAGCGCCACCCAAAGGAGTGCGGGTTAACGGTAAATTATTCCCCCCATCCACGCCATTGAGTGGCATCGTGTGGCAGTGCTTTTGTTTTTTTTAGTTATTAATAAACAAGAGCACAAATAACAAAGATGTAGCCATCATAAGTGAGCCCATGCATGGGGTTTGTGGTGGGGCACAGCACATGGAGGCTCCTTGACATGTCACATTAATTGCAAAGCTTGACATCTAGGCAGAGAATATTAAATGCATTATTAAGTGGGTTGATGGACATGCAAAGGGTGGCAGGCGAGAGTGGTGTGGATGAGAGACGGGGGTGGCTGCTGGGTGATGCAGTTGAGGGTGGGATATTTTGGGTTGGATAGGGGTGGTGCTGGGGACAAAGTGGGTAGTGACGAGAGGAGGCACGGAGGGTGCGGAGGGCAGCCCCGGGGCACAATCGGTAATTGTGTGTGCGTCACGTGGAGTCTCCAAGCATGACTCCGAGGCACAGAGCCAGCTCCGACTTCTGAATTTTGCCGTCGCGGTTCACGTCGCAGTGGTGCATGAGCGACGAGCGAAATCGATCCAAGTCCACTCCGCTGAGACTCGGCTAGGAACACAAGGATGCCTTAGTGTTTCAGGGAAATGTACATCAATGTCTGATGCACCCTGGCTTACCGGTATTAGCCTTTTTGCCTGTTAGGTCACAGTACTGGTCGGCATGGTGAAGTGATGTCGGGTTGGTATGTGGCCTAGGCTGGCGATTGCTTAAGGATAGGAGCATCCACTACAAAGGTGTGTGCATGGAAGGCATTACAGAGCAACGCTGGACTTGTACTTTATTCCTACAAATAACAGCTGGTGACCTCAACCCAGGATGACTGAGAGACGGACCAGAATTGAAGAAGCTCAAAGACCCAATACCAAGTAGAACTGCATGCTTAATAAGTCCATGTATAATGACGATGTCCCTATATCAGTATTATTAATGTGTACTCTGCATCTCTTTAATGCCTATTTTATGCAATGTTAGACAAGTTATGCATTATATATGTGTGCAAACGCAAAGTGATAATGAATAAAACATCTGCATTGATGTGGAAGACCATTAATGCAGCTAGACTGGCTCGTTAGCAGAGGTGTGTCCTTTAATGAGAGTGATATTTAGGACTGTGGTGAGATACCGTTTCCTCCGGTGAGCGGTTTGTCAGCAATGCATAATGGGCTGCATGCGGTGGTAATAGGAGGACCCTGCTGTTACGCTTGACATTTGTAGTGCAAGTATTAAGAGAACGAGAGAGTCTAGCCGCTGACAAAGGTCGTGTTTGGATTGAACGGAACACAGTTGACATGGGCAGGCGCTAACGAGTGGGTGTAATTGTACCTGCCGCCACCTTGTAATGTTGACATTTGGCAATGGGCTAGGTAAACTAAGGAAATGAATACATGTTATCACGATTGCTGGGCAGATGCCTATATGCCCAAAATTCACAGCAGCCTGCAACAAACAGCACTGTTTAAGTTATAATCGATAAGAGTTAATAATTTTCCTTGAATTGAGCGAGGTTGTAAGAACTTGGGAAAATACGACGGGAGGGAATTTCAGTCGAACAGTGCGAGGGAAGCAGCAGAAAGAGAAATGCGGCGATACATTTACGAGCATGTGACAGGATTTGTACGCAAATAGATACATGCATTAAATTGCTAATTATTTTGCTTTGATTTATCAAGAGAAAAAAACATACACCAGTAGCATCGGTAATTTGCTGCTGTGGTTTGTGATTTAATTTTACCCATGAGGTACACAAATCATTGGATTGTTCCCACTTTACCACTACTGGACATCTGTGAAAAAGAGCTTCATAGCTCATCGGATTCCTCCAGTATAAATAAAGATTCTGGTTTACATTTTACACCGTAAGTCAGCTGTTTTAAGTTACATTCTTGAATCCATCATGCCACAAGAACTCGGCTAAAACAGAGGTCAATATTTACACAGTGCTGATGAGTTATTTTTTTAACTATTAAATATTTTTTTACGTCTGAACCCTAAGTTTAAAGATGCAAACACTATGATTAATACTGTGCAAGGAATTCCACACAAACACAACTTTCCCCAACTCACCCTGACGAGCTCAACCATGTCCTTGACCAGTCCATCAACCTCTGCACCTTCCAGCACACCAGTTCCACTCTGTAACATCAGTCCACCACAGGTAATCGTACTGGTTCCAGCTTCTGTGTTTTACCTATGCTTTGAGCCAATATATTGCCTGCTGAAAATTCAAGCCCCTCCTTCTAAATTATTGCAGTGAAATCAATAAATCTTGGTACAAAAATTGGTACAATAAAAGCAATGGGTGTCTCAGCTTTTGCTCATCTACACAGAGAGTGAAAGCTAGAGCAGAATGCACATGAAACCAAAGCAAACCATATCTTCACTCATTTTGTTTAGAAGTTAACATACTTTGAAGTTTTTTTTATATATATACTGTGTAGCACCCCTCTTGATTTTTTGTATGCCCCCCCTTTAAACAAGGTCAGACTGCAGAAAAAACTCAGCAGATTCGTCAATAACACTGCCTACAAAAGAAAAAGCATAATAAGGGAAGTCTCAGGAA